GGGTTTGTTTTTGTAGGTCCTTTTCTTCTCTTGTGTTTCCCACTTAGAGAATTTCCTCTAGCATTTGTTGTAGAGCTGGTTTGGTGGTGCTGAATTCTCTTAGCTTTTGCTTGTTTGTAAACAAACAAATCCCTCAAATCTGAATCAGATCCTTGTCAGGTACAGTAATCTTGGTTGTAGGTTCTTCCCTTTCATCACTTTAAATATATCATGCCACTCCCTTCTGGCTTGTAGAGTTTCTGCTGAGAAATCAGCTGTTAACCTTTTGGGAGTTCCCTTGTATGTTATTTGTCGTTTTCCCCTTGTTGCTTCCAATAATTTTTCTTTGTCTTTAATTTTTGTCAATTTGATTACTATGTGTCTCGGCATGTTTCTCCTTGGGTTCATCCAGACTGGGACTCTCTGCACTTCCTGGACTTGGGTGGCTATTTCTTTTCCCATGTTAGGGAACTTTTCGACTATAATCTCTTCAAATATTTTCTCGGGTCCTTTCCTTCTCTCTTCTCCTTCTGGGACCCCTATACTGTGAATGTTGTTGTGTTTAATGTTGTCCCAGAGGTCTCTTAGGCTGTCTTCATTTCTTTGCATTCTTTTTTCTTTATTCTGTTCCATGGCAGTGATTTCCACCATCTGTCTTCCAGGTCATTTATCCATTCTTCTACCTCAATTATTGTTCTGTTGATCCCTTCTAGTGTATTTTTCATTTCAGTTATTGTATTGTTCATCTTTGTTTGTTTGTTCTTTAATTCTTCTAGGTCTTTGTTAAACATTTCTTGCATCTTCTCGATCTTTGCCTCCATTCTTTTTCTGAGGTCCTGGATCATCTTCACTATCATTATTCTGAATTCTTTTTCTGGAAGGTTGCCTTTCTCCACTTCATTTAGGTGTTTTTCTGGGGTTTCATCTTGTTCCTTCATCTGGTACATAGCCTTCTGACTTTTCATCTTGTCTATCTTTCTGTGAATGTGTTTTTTGTTCCACAGGCTGCAGGACCGTAGTTCTTCTTGCTTCTGCTGTCTGCCCTCTGGTCTCTTCTATGTATTTCTTTTCAGCCAATATTCACAAAAGATGTGTAGAACTGTTATCACTATTCCTACTTCAAACATTAGAAACCAGTTTTCAGGAAAGTTAAATAGCCTTTTTCCCGTTCAATTCTTTGACTGCATCTTTTGTTTCTTCAGAAACTTCACACAATTGTTTTACAATCTAGTCTTCCTAATTCCAACTGGTGAACTTCTTGGGGGTTATAAATCTGATGTTTGTTGTTTCTGCTGACTTTCATTCATGGTAACCAGTTTCCTTGTGTTATTTGGTGATTTTTGTTTGTAAGCTTATATTTGAGTAAACTGAATACATGGGAGTCCTTTAATATCTAAATTGAGGTTGCTTTCCCCCAGAGATAATTTGGATTTTCTTAGGAAGCAAGGGAGCTGCCTACTGAGGAACACCTTAGCTACCTCAAGATGCCCAGCTCATACTTGAGTCTCTAGTTCAGCTCTCCTACCTTGTGGCAAACTACCACAGCTTCTCTTGAACCTGGGGCTGATAGTGTTATCTGCCCCTTGACTTATAATGTTGTTTACCATTCATTATTTTTGTTTTGTCTAATTGTATGCTTGCCCTAGAGCTTTCTCTTGCTTTGTGAGCAGTGGTTTAAAAGGTATATTATTGTAGTTTATTCAGGATCTAGTTGTATTAAAACTGGAGGAGGGTGTCATCCTGGTAGAAGTGGCAGTGAGACAACTATCTTTCTATCGTACCTAACTGAGTGAATTCATTATTCATTCAAACATTCATTTATTCACAACATATTTGCTGAGCACCTACTGAGTGCCAGGCTCTATGCTAGAGCTTTCAACTAGAGCTGAAAGTAAGTTTCTGAGCTTAATAGTTTATGTGAATATCTATATATATTTTCAGTAGTTAGAACCATATTTTTCTTAAGACATACGTGAATCATTCTGAGTGCCACAGAAGTAAGAAGCATCAGTTACTGAAGTTTAGGATATACAAGAAGATCATTTAAGTAAGAAACCTAGTAATAATCAAAATACTTTTAGAATAAAACATGACAGCTCCTACCCAGTCGCAGCTTATTAATGATTAAGATGCCTGTAAAGTACTTGGATCTTCTTTGAAGAAAATCAGCTGATAAATAGATAACACCAACCACATTCTAGTGTGCATTTTGTGCCAATCATGTTAGAGTTAGAAAAGTAAATCCCAGGGTATCATATTTCATAGGCAATCCATTCATTCAAGAAGATTTACTGGTGCACCAGTTGTGTTCCAGAACAAGAAATAATCCCTGACCTTGAGAATTCCACACTCTAGTATGAAAGACAAGCAAGAAAATAAACAATTAGAATACAGTGTGCTATGTATATATCAATATATGAAGTTTTATGCCTGAGTTTACTTCAGTGGGGACAAAGAGGAAACGCAGTGGTAAACTGACGCTGCTCATAAACTCAGTCATGGTTCGCCCATGGAAAAATGACGTCTTTGCTCCTCTTACCTCTTCTGTTGTTCTTCCTGATATTGTTGCTTTATTTTAGCTTCATTTTCTATTGCTTCTTTTATCCTTTCCTCTAATTGCTTCTTCCCCAAAATACAAGTGTCTGTGAGACAGACTTTATGAGCATGTTCTAATTTCTGCTGCAGATCCAAAATCTGAAATGAAAAGAGTTTACACATAAAACTTTGAGTGTAACCTATTTTCCAATTAGGGAAATACCATATAAATCACAAGCAGTAGTGCTAACATAAAAATCTCAGCTAGGGCTTCCCTGGTGGCGTAGTGGTTGAGAGTCCGCCTGCCGATGCAGGGGACACGGGTTCGTGCCCCGGTCCGGGAAGATCCCACATGCCGCGGAGTGGCTGGGCCCGTGAGCCGTGGCCGCTGAGCCTGCGCGTCCGGAGCCTGTGCTCCGCAACGGGAGAGGCCACAACAGGGAGAGGCCCCCGTACCGCCAAAAAAAAAAAAAAAAAAAAAAAATCTCAGCTAAAGTAAACAGTGACTAGATTTATTTTAATTTTAGAATTAAATTACTTAATTTTTGCAATATGTAATACATTCATATAATTTAGTGTATGTGGGTAAACTAAGCTAGAGTGACAAGTCCCTTTCCCATCCTTATCCTGTCTTCCTTCCAGTTTTCCTCCACCAAATAGGTAATCACTGGTATTAATTTCTTATGTACTCTTCCAGAGATTTATATATGCACGTTTAAACAAATACTATTCTCCTTCATACAAACATTTTTTTTTTTTTTTTTTTTTTTAGGTACGCTGGCCTCTCACTGTTGTGGCCTCTCCTGCTGCGGAGCACAGGCTCCGGACGCGCAGGCTCAGCGGCCACGGCTCACGGGCTCAGCCGCTCCGCGGCATGTGGGATCTTCCCAGACCAGGGCACGAACCTGTGTCCCCTGCATCGGCAGGCGGACTCTCAACCACTGCATCACCAGGGAAGCCCCATACAAACATTTTTTACACACATGATGGTATATTACATGTACTTATGCACCTTGCTTTTTTTTATAGCAGTACACTTGGAGATTTTTCCATATTATATATAATATATAGAATTGTCTTCTCTTTTACAGCTGCATACCATTCCACTGTAAGGATATTCCATAATTTAACTAGCCCCCCCTACTAATGGACATTTAGGTTGATTCCAATCTTTTACTATTCCAAACAATACTATTCCAAACAATGTTTTTAGAATAACTTATGAGATGTATATTTTGCTAGGGCAAAGGTTATTATTATTTGTTTGTTTAACAGATAATGCCAAACTGTCTCCATAGGTTTTAGACCAATTTACACCTCTAACAGCAACATGTGGGAGTGTCTAGTTTCTCCATGGTGTGGCTAAATTCATGAATAAGTATCTCAAAACAAAATAGAAGTCTCTTACAAACCAAGTACCTATTGGCATACTGCCTAGCACCAGTAGTGCATTCTTTTTTCTTTTTAAAAAACATTTATTTATTTGGCTGTGTCGGGTCTTAGTTGGCAGCACTCGGGATCTTTGTTGAGGCATGCAGGGCATTTTGTTGTGGCTCTTGGGCTTCTCTCTAGTTGTGGTGTGTGAGTTTTCTCTACTTGTGGCATGTGGGCTCCAGGGCGCATGGGCTCTGTAGTTTGTGGCATGCAGGCTCTCTAGTTGAGGTGCGTGAGCTCAGTAGTTGTGGCATGTGGGCTTAGCTGCCCCACGGCATGTGAGATCTTAGTTCCCCTACCAGGGATTGAACCTGCATACCCTGCATGGGAAGGTGGATTCTTTAGCACTGGACCACCAGGGAAGTCCCAGTAGTGCATTCTTTAATGCTCTGGTAGAACTAAGAATAAGATTTATGAATTTGAAAGAGAGATATATGATTTTATTTTAGAATTTACATGTTAGACTAAAAGTGTCATTAAAATTTTCTTATTAGATCTTCTTTTAATTTGCTTACATATTTTTTATAAACCCTTATGTCACCTAAAATTGTGACTAGTATGTAGTAGGTGCTTAGTAAATATTTGGCAGATGTATAGTTCTCAGCGGAATTGCTGTTCTCCCTCTATTGTATTCCTGATGCAACAACAAATCCTTTACAACGGTCTGGCACCATGTTCCCCACAGACGTTCAGTGGATGCCAGTGAATGGCAGTCCTCTTCTAAGAGAAGGGCTTTCTGCATTAGCCCTAGGTCTCTGCAGAGCCCACTCAGCATAGGAGAGGTGAAGATGTAGAATGATTCACGGGCAATGGCAGTGGGCAGCCAGTTAGCTGAGGCCAGCTCAAGTTCCTTTGAGCTGCCCCATTTAGTTCTGCCTAGGGCAAATGCTTCCTTAAAGATAGCCAATCTTAATTCCACAGATGAAAGTATTGCTCCATTGGCTTCTCTATCAAGGGCAAATGACAAACTTTTGAACCCACCACCCAATTTAAGAAACAGAACATTTCCAATATGTTTGAAGTCTACTCTGTGACCCTCTTTGATCACTCCCCTTCCCTCCTCACCTGAGAAAACCATATCTTGAATTTTGTGTTAATCATTTTCTTGCTTTTTCTTTGAATAATATGTATTTCTGTATGACTCAGTTGTTATTTTGTACTATTTTGACCATCATATTAATGGAATCATACTGTGTTTTTGGTGATTTGGTATTTATTTATTATTGTATTAACTACAGCAAGTACCTAGAGTTCATTCATTTTCACTGTTGTATGCAATTGTGTAAATATGCAGTTTACCTCTTCCATCTCATGTCAGTGAACATTTGGGCTGTTTGCAACTTTCTGCTGTTTGGAACAATGTTACTATGAAAATGATTGTATTCCCATATATACTGATATATATGCTCAGTAGAATAGTTTCCCTAGTGTTTATACCTAGTAGAAGTGTTGGGTTGCGCAGTATATACATCTTTAACTTAACTAGATCTAATGCCAAATTGATTTCTGAAGTGTTTATACTAGTTTACTCTTCCAGCTGCAGTCAGAATATGCATTCCTGTTGCACAAAATCCAGTAACAAGATTTAGTATGTCTAAATTTAAAATTTTTACTAATCTTTATCAATTTTACCAATTACTTTTTTTAAAGTAATAACATACATATGATAAAGTACACATATCTTACATACTCAGTGAAGTTTTACTTACATAACCACCTCTTCCAGACCAAGATAAAGAATACTTTCAGCACCACAGAAGATTCCCTCATGTCCCCTTCCATACCCCTCATAAAGACATTATCCTATCACCACGGCTTAGTTTTGTCTATTCTTGAACCTCATATAAGGGAAATTACATAGTATGAACTCTTTTGTGCTGGCTTCTTTAGCTCAACATTGGGTTTTTTGAGTTTAAGCCATATTGCTATCATCTAATTTTGATGTTTGTTTTATATTTATGTGGTTTGATGAAATATTTTTTTATGTAAGATTTGACTCTCAAACCCACAGATCAAAACGTGCAAGTGTGACATACTACTGCCACCTGGTGTCAGGCAGTCTAAAATGCAGGGGCGATATTTCAAAATGGTTCATTTCACAACACTCATCCCTCCAAAAGTTACAAAATAAAAATCAAATAAACAGGCAATCCAAATGAGAGGAGAATAAGTCCTTTAAAATTTGACTTAATAATATAAAGTATAACTAATATACTTTATAAATAATATAAAGTCCTTTGGTCTCAATTCTTTAAGTTCATGTTATAGCTTTAATGAAATTTACCTTTTTGAGTTCATGTAGTCTTCAAAAACACAAGATTTACTGGAACCATAGGAGCAGGTGACGTCAATAGAGGAAAGCAGGGGAGAGTGAAAAAAACCCCTAGAATTCTTTCAGGTTTGCACTGTATCTATTTTATAAAATCTTTAGGGAAACAGGATTTTAGTAGTAGTATCCAGTGCATGTTATTTATTGTGAGGATAATTACCTTTTCCTCTGCATCAGCAACTCTAGATTTCTCCTGAGCCAGCTTTTCCTGTAGGTTGTTCTGTGATTTAATGCTCTGAGCCTGTTTAAGTACTTCCAGCTCCAGTTCCTTGATTTTCTGCTGACAGTGCTTCCACTCAGCCGTGAGTGAAGAGCACATCTTTGCGCTGTCTAATAACTTCTGCTGGGCCTGCTTGAGTTCAATTTTGATCTAGAGGTGGGGAATGAATAAAAGTGACAAAAATAAGCATGGAATGAATGTGAATGTGAGCTAGAATAAGCAGCTTTCAAGAAAGTGTAGTCCCCCAAGAGCTGACAAATACCAACGTCATGTGGCTGATTACATCTCTGGAGCTGCTCTGTGTTAGTAGGGTTTGCCAAAGTCTATCCAGCCAGACGGCAGCTGGACAAAGGAATTTACTTAAGGGTTCCTACACATGCATGGTCTAAAGAGTTTCCATCATTTTATTTTTCCAGTCTACTCCAAGCCGGCTTTCATTCCCACTACTTCAGTAGTGCCAAGAGCACTACTGACCTTCCCTGGCCAGAATTTAAGTCCAGTGGACAACTGACCTGTTAGTAGCAGTTACTCCATCCATCTCAGAAAGTTCTCCTCTCTTGGAGTCTGTGATACCCACCTCTCCTAGTTTTCACTTACCTCTGCTGTTGCTTCTTGGTTTATTTTGTAGACTATTCTAGTGCACTCAACTTCTAAACATTATTGGACTATTCTAGGCCTTCCTAGAGAGTGAATCATTCTCTCTCTAGGTTCATTCTCATGATTTAAAAATACCACTTTTATGCCAATACATGCCAAAATGGAACTCCTTGATTCTGCTTATATCTCCAGAAGCGTTCTTCTCTCAGTCTTTCTGATTTCAGTAAAGGAGGCCAACATCCAACCTTTTGTTCAGGCCAGTGAGTGACCTGAGAGCCATCTTTGAGCCTCCCTTTGCCACAGTGAGCCTATTCAGCACATGCTGTCACTCTACCTCTACAAGACATCTTGCATCAATCCATTTTCGTCATTTCTGTCACCACCCTTGCTAGGTCATTATCATCTCTATCCTGGGCCATAGCAGTAGCACTGGTCATGCCACTTCCATTTTTACTCCCTTCTAAGCTGTTCTCCACACTGCAGCCAAAGTGTTCTTTTAAAAACATAAATTGAACTACTTGACCCCAGCTCCTGCTTAAATCTTTCAGTGGCTTCCGCAACACTCTGAGAACATATCCCACCAGCTTGCCTGGCCTTGAATGATGTGGCCTTTGCCAGATTAAAATCATCCTGTTAATCCCCCTTCTTCCACTGATCTCCTGTCCCACCGGTTTCTATTTGGATTTTATAATGAATAGAAGAAAAACAAAGAAACTAAAGAAAAGAAGAAACTGAGTGTTGGAATATTTGGTGCATTGGATTGGTTCAGGATTATGAAACTTAAACTTATTATAAATAGAATGGGCATATAGGTTTCATAATATATTATCCACGTACTCCATAGGCCAAGAAAGCTAAAGGCCTCTGAGGTCTATGATCATTGGTCTTAGAGACAATGCTCAGCATTTTGGTAATGCTGGTAATGATGAAATAAGATGACAACACTGGAGCAAACACTGTTCTGGCCAATGACATGTGCATCTAGGGTGGCTTCTTAAGCTTCAGATTGGGACATTTAAGCACCAGGAAGAGGATTCAGTACAGTGTCTCAGTATTGGTGGTGGCAGAACCTCTCTCAGCCTCAAGCTCTAAGCCTATAGCATTCTTCTTGATATACCCAACGTGGAAACAGGCAATATGGCCATAAATCATAGAAATAATAAATAAATTATGGCATTTCCTTACAGTGAAATACTCTACTGCAAAGAAAATGAATGAACAATGGCTATACACCACAACATGGATGAATCTTCCAAACAAAGTAGATCATCAGAAGACAGATACAAGGTGTGTATACTGATTGATTATATTTATAAAATATTCAAAAGCAGGCAAAACTGAACCATACTGTGTGGAATTCATACACAGATGGTAAAACTATAAAGTAAAGCAAAAGAGTAATTACTTAAATTAGTGGTTCCTGCTAAGATGGAAGAAAATGGGATTATGGTGGGAAAGAGGTATGCAGGGGCTGCTGGTATGCAGGCAATGTGCTATTTCTTGACCTGGGTGGTGGTTACATGGGTAGTCACTTTGCAACAATTCATTAAACTGTATATTTATGTTCTGTGTACTTCCTGAGTGCTATATTTCACAATAAAAAGGTTTAAAAACAACAAATAAGTATTCTGGTTTCTTTTTTTAAATTTATTATTATTATTATTATCTTTTTGCTGTACACGGGCCTCTCACTGTTGTGGTCTCTCCCGTTGTGGAGCACAAGCTGCGGACACACAGGCTCAGCGGCCATGGCTCATGGGCCCAGCCGCTCCGTGGCATGTGGGATCTTCCCGGACTGGGGCACGAACCCGCGTCCCCTGCATCGGCAGGCAGACTCTCAACCACTGCGCCACCAGGGAAGCCCAGCATTCTGTTTTCTTAACCAGTCTTACAAGTATGCCTAACATTAGCCAGAGACCCAGAGTTCGATTATCTCTGAGTGGATTTTAAAAAGTAATGTCTAAATTGGCAAAGCTGGGGTTCGAAAATGACCCCAAATTGAGGAAAGGGATAATACGGAAAGATAACTCTACACAAGAAAGACAAAAACAGACCTGGGTTTAAATTCTGACTCCACAATTTGGTAGCTTTGCCACTTGAACAGTTTTTTATATATGTATATATATTTATTTATTTTCTTTATTTTTTTAGTTTTTTGGCTGTGTCGGGTCTTAGTTGCAGCATGCAGGATCTTTGTTGAGGCATGCGGGATCTTTAGTTGCGGTGCATGGGCTTCTCTGTAGTTGTGGCGTGCGGGTTCTCTCTCTCTAGCTGTGGTGCACAGGCACCGGCATGCGTGGGCTCTGTAATTTGCGGCACACGGGTTCTCTTGTTGAGGTGCATGAGCTCAGCAGTTACGGTGCACGGGCTTTAGTTGTCCCGCAGCATGTGGGATCTTAGTTCCCCGATCTGGGATCAAACCCGTGTCCCCTGCATTGGAAGGCAGATTCTTTACCACTAGAACCACCAGGGAAGTCCCCTGAACAGTTTTCTCATCTATAAGGGTTGGGAGGTTTCTAAGAGATAAAGTGGACAAACTGTCACTACAAGGTAGTTGGCTATTGCATATGACTCTGCGTAAATGCCTGGCCCAAGGGACCAGCCAAAAGAATGATGTCTCATTACTGAAATGGCAAATAATTTACCCCACCACGAAGGAGATTTAAAACAGAAAAAAAAATATCTTCTCTTTTAATCAAGCTCTCATTTACCCATCGCTGAAGGACTCGTTCATTAACCAACAATATTTATAGGGTGCCAACCATATATAAGATGTCATGATCTGTTGTTATTGTCATTGTGACTTGACAAAGATGTAGTATTGCTTGAGTATGCTCACAGTGGACAGTTAAAATGGTCTAAAAAAGATGTTTGAAGGGAAAGGTAAAAGGTTGTCTTGAAATGTGAGAAAGATTTGGAATTTAATTTAAAACTACAAAGGCTTGGGGCTTCCCTAGTGGTGCAGTAGTTAAGAATCCGCCTGCCAATGCAGGGGACACGGGTTTGAGCCCTGGTCCGGGAAGATCCCACATGCTGCGGAGCAACTAAGCCCGTGCGCCACAACTACTGAGCCTGTGCTCTAGAGCCCGCGAGCCACAACTACTGAGCCTGCGAGCCACAACTATGGAAGTCCGCACGCCTAGAGCCCATGCTCTGCAATAAGAGAATCCACCGCAATAAGAAGCCCGCACACCGCAATGAAGAGTAGCCCCCACTCACCGCAACTAGAGAAAGCCTGCGCACAGCAACGAAGACCCAACACAGCCAAAAATAAAAATAAATAAATTTATTTAAAAAATTACAAAGGCTTGAGGGAATATGATCAAATTCAAAAAACAATGAAGGGTGAGGATAGGGAAGAAGTTTATCCAAATAATCTTAGAACTCCCAAAAGGGCTTCCTTTGAAGTTTGAAATAAATGACTATTTGTTTTCCTCCATATCTCCCCTACTAGACTGTGAGCTCCTTAAAAGTAGGGACCTTTCTTAATCCATTTTTATGTCGCTTTTTGAATAAGGTCATTGATCCTGCTACACTAGGGGTGGCAAACCTTTCGTATAAAGAGCCAGAGAGTAAATATTTTAGCCTTTGTGGGCCATATGGTCTCTGTCAGAACTACTCATATCTGCTTTGGTAGTGCAAAAGCAGCCGTCAATAATATGTCAATGAACAGGTATGGCTGTGTGCCAATAAAACTTTATTTACAAAAATGGAAGGCAGGCAGGATTTGACCCATAGGTCAAAGGTTGCTGACCCCTGCACTAGGGGATAAGAACTGTGTCTGTTTTGCATATCATTAAACCCTCAGTATTGACAAGATGGCCTGCCCTGTTTAGGACTGATGCTCAATAAATATTTGTTGAATGTTGAATTCCAGAATCTTAGATAGGGGCTTATATTAGGTTACTAGTATATGTTTACAGAAGTGAACCACAATTAAAAGAAAGTTCTATTTTACATGGTGGTTCAGTTTGAACATTTTTGTGGTTCACAAAACTTACTCTTTTTTTTGGCTGCACTGTGTGGCATGCGGGATCTTAGTTCCCCGACCAGGGATTGAACCTGTGCCCGCTGCAGTCGAAGCATGAAGTCTTAACCACTGGACCGCTAGGGAAGTCCCCTGTGCTTCATAAAATTTAGATGAATCTGTGGATGGCAGTTCTATATAGATTATTTTAAAACAAGCATGTTTGGGGGGTGTTCCCCCAAATTTCTGATGCACTCATGTCAGGAAGAACAACTTTGCTCTCTCATGATTTGTACCTTGGTGCAGCTGATATTTGATTCAACCAATAATAATGAATGCATCTATTAGAGACAAATACATCCAGAGATAGAACTAGGGCAGTACCACCAGTGATTTAGTTCAGGTCATTGAAATTTACTAATGGCTAAAAGGTCTAGGTAGTGATTTCAAAAGACTGCGTAACTTAAACCTTTTCATATTTACAGGCTGACAGCACACACAGCCTTTCAGCAGCAGAGAAACCATTGAGCTGTGTACCTACTCGGTAGGGAGAAGTTAAAGGAGGGAGTTACCAGATAGTTCACACTGTCTACCCGTCTGGGGACTCTGTCGTGAATTATCAAGTTGAGGAATTCTGATTCCTTTATTCCCAGGGTAAATTGAGCAATCGAGACTCTTAAATGAAGGATACGCCCACTGGAGTTACCTTAATGCTTTCTTCCTGAAGTAAGCTGTTATGCTGCTTTAAGTCTAAGTTCTTTCCTCGCTCATATCGAAGCTCCTTTTCTGCTGAGTTGCATAGAATCTGGAGCCGGTGCAAATTCTGGCGAAGTTGCTGTAGCTCCTCTTGCTGCTGGTATTTCCGTTTTTCTCCAGATGATGGATACTAAAGCAAACGTTTTACAAGGGGAACATGGACAATTTGAAAGAATGTTGGTAAAACATGGGTTCCAGCTGTCGGAATGTGATTATTCACATGTAAATGCTTTTGGAGTTAGCTTAACTACAGCCAATTACTCTTTTACATGTATGGCTAGTTGTACATGTTCATATAGTTTAACTCCTGTTATATTAGAGTGAAAATATTGAAGAAGTTATGCGAACAAAAGTAATTAAACATAGAAAATTAACTTTCTTATTTTTCATATTAGTGAAGTGGAACAGAAGCGTGGGCAGTTTTAGAGCAAAATGTGCTTTAAATAGGGAGTTCAAAGAGTCAACGTATTAAGATGCAGTGTGTGAACGTGTATGTGGGTTGCGTGTGGGTTGCGTGTGCACACGCGCGCATAGTGTCTGTTGGCAAAGGGGAAGAGAACATTTAGCGAGAGATACTAAATTACCAGGTTTCCTCATCACTTTCCTTTCACTCCCCAATGATTCTCCTTCGGTTACTCCTCAACAACGCACTCTCCTGCCAGGTGTCTCTGGCACAATAAAAATCCCGTGACCAAAGGAGGGGTTATTTAGATTTTCTGAAAGGTAGGCACACACAGCCATGCTGAGTAGACAAAGAATTCAACCTTCTCCAGTTCAATAGTTAAGATACTGTCTGTTTCCTGAGTCCTGGTCCAGTGTGCTTCCTGTTCATGACGTTCTGAAAAGCCCATGTCATTATTCTAGTTTATCTTGCTTATAACAGAATTGGCACACTGAATTCCCCAAGTCCTGTTAGCCCTTCAGTTCCTGTCTTGGTTTAGTCAGAAAGGCAATCTAGATCCAATTTGCTTGTCTTAAGAGCTGCAAGTATCTAAGGTCCCTGGTTAGCTCGCTATGGGTAAATGCACGGTTCATCTACACATGTTCAAGTGATATTTATTCATTATTACAGAAGAATACCTAATTGATATTCTGATTTTACCCAATAGTCTTGAAAGTTTGGTTTAATGTAAATGTATCCCCAAGACTCAGATCTATTTTGGGCGGGGGGGGCTATTACATCAAAGTTTTGGAGACTGCAAGCCTAAGGGCAAATCACAGATAAATTCACCAAGATAATCTAAGACAGACACCCTGGGAGGGCTTTTGGGAGCCAGCTTGCCAGCCTTCCTTAGAAAATTAGCTTGACGTGAGGACTATATGCTTTCTTTGAGTTTCTCAGCAAGTGGAAGCAGATGACAAAACTGTTAAAAGGTCAGGCTGTAAAGGAGACAGACCAGGTTCTACCACAAAGTGTCATTCTAGGCCAATTATTTAACCTCTCTAAAGCCTCAGTTTCTTCATCTATAAAGTGGCAACAATAATATTTCTGCATCATTGTATTGCTTAATATACACAGAGTATTAAGTATAGTGCCTAGAGCATAGTAAAAAAATGTGAAACTACATTTTCAACCTATAAAATTAAGATAATTAATGGTGGTTCAAATATGTTTCAAGAATAGTGGGAAAATAATATCTAGAACTCAGCTACTGCGACCTCACCAGGAATACTGTTGAACAGCAGAAATTAAGCCCCCAAAGGCCATCAGCAGCCACAAATGATGTCACAAAACACATATGAACAATATAGCTCACGCAGTTACTCATAATAGAGGCTCTCACAGTTTTTTCCCTATATATTTGCTATTTATGAGCATTCTTTAAAATCTGGTGTCTGGGATCAGCCTATAGTTACCTAAATTTTCACATTATGAGATTAATAAGACAGTACACATGGAAAGCAGCAAAGTATTAGCACCATAATCTGACAACAGGGGTGAAGACTAAAAACTACACACACACAAGAACTAAAAAGTAGAACAATCTATAGCTATTAGAAGGTCAAAGAACCTTATACACAGAAAGAGGTTCTGAAATTATCACTGCACAGCACACTGCAGACAAAACTCTGTCTAAAATGTATTTTCTTCCTTGCTTGCTTAAAGAAGTAAATAAAATCGTGTGTGTGAGTGTTTTGGGAAATGTGAATCCAAAGAACACAAATGTTATTTTTTTCCCATGCGGGCCATGTCTACCTCATTTACTGCCATTATGTACCTTAACACAGGGCCTGGCACATCATACATACACAATTAATGGGAATTCCCTGGTGGTCCTGTGGTTAGGACTCCCTGCTTCCACTGCAGGGGGCATGGGTTCGATCCCTGGTCAAGGGACTAAGATCCCTGGTTGGGGAACTAAACTAAGATCTCGCATGCTGTGAGGCATGGCCAAAAAAAAAAAAAAAAAAAAATTGATACTCAATTAATAATTAATACTGGTTGAATAAATGAATAAGAATAACACACTTCTTTCAATAATTCAAAGTCATTATTATGGAAAAAAATTACTGGCTATGTGGTATATACATTTGTTCTTTCACAAAATGGCCATTTCCCCAGATTTCCCAGAGAGTTTTTATATATTTAACAGTTTTTCACCTCCCCCCCAAGTACTGAGAAATGATTCTTCAAATAATGGGAAAGGGTAAATTAGAGAAAATTAATAAATTAACCAGGGTGTGACTTCTTATACTGTAAATTTCATTATTCTAAAAGTTCACTGATTATTTTAAGCTCATAAGCAAAGATTTTATCATCTTTGTGACCACAGTGTTCAGCCTCTGCCCAAGCCTCCTACACTGGCCCACTGCCCAATAAAGGGATTGTCTGGGATATGTAAAATCAACCTCCTTTTGAATATGTGATGTCATACTTCCTTTTGGTCTTCTGAACAAATCCAGTGACTTCCTTCTCATTCCAATGTATCTGAATCTCCTTTCAGGTATATATTTTCCTTGTTTATTATGACTTGCCTAGTTTTCACTCTATCCAAACCTTTTTTCAAATATATTTTGACTTCTTTTACTAATAGTCTTCCTTGTTTTCTAAATGTACACTTGAATCCCTTCTCAAATGTATATTATCAGTCTTCTGAATGTGGTTTACATATGAGTACAAACCCTCCCTCTATGGATCTCAAAATAATTCCTAGAAAAGTGTGTGTAGGGA